GGCACACTGTGGGTAGACTACACTTTGGACAGATTCTTGGATGGCGAGGACCACTACCCAGTTGTTGCAGAGGTGAAGTCGACGACTTCGAAAGCCCCACCTCGGATGAGAAGTGCTTTAGTTCTGGTCCGAAACATGCGTCGGGATTCGGGCCAGACTCGCATTTTTGAGCAGATCATGGCGGGATCGGTGCTCCCATAATGGACGATGGATATGAACGACCAGTTGGAGGCTACCAACGCGTTGATCAGATCTGCGGCCTCAGCATGCGTCTCCAGGGATTGTTTGAGTTCAGATCGAGGTTACGCCGGTCGTACTATAATGGAATTTGTGCGCTCGACGAAATACGTCTCTGGAGCGCGGAGATGGCCTCCTCGTCGCGCGGCTCACCGGCCCCTTCGGAAGGACTTGATCAATCGCACCAAGGATTGTCTCCTCAATCCGCCTTCTGATGTTGGTTGGGGCAACGCGGCCACTAGACTCAGGATGGCGTGCGACTGCATCCGTAGTGGAAGCCTCGCTGCGGAGGAGTTTCCGAAGGAGTTGGACGCATTCTTCATTTTGACCTCTCGCACAGTGAGGAGGGCGGTTACGCGACCGCGCGCGTCACCTGGGCAATTTGGGGAGGCAGATGGAGGAGTGCGCACTACGAGGCGACAGTCACGGCGCATGGCGGCTACTCAAAGTTATGTTTCGCTATGGTGGCCGTGCTGGAAAAACTGGACGATGCCCGATCTTACGCAGTGTTGATCGTAATTTTGCAGGGTCGGCTAAGGAGGCGGACTTCATGGAGGTCGAGCTTCTCTCCAAGGATGAGGAGGGCTGAGGATGCCGAGATCATGCTTGGGAACGACATTACCGATAAGTACAGCAACCGCCTGCTTCACTTGGGGGGCCCTGTTGCGGTCGAACCTGAATATCTACTTCACCATTCTGCTGCGGCGAAACTCTTTTCCTTGGCCAAGAGGGGGCGTGCTGCTGGCATCGATGGCATCGGAGGCGGCCTGTTGAGGGCGTCACCGGCTTCTCTGGGCAGGCATTCTGCATTTATTATTGACAAAGTTGCGATCCACCAACAAGAGCCCTTCGCACGGCAGCACGGCATCGTATTTCCCATATCCAAGGGCACTGGCGACTACCAGGGCCCTGAGTTCTTTTATAGATCTATCTTGCTGAACAACACGGTAAGCAAAAGCTGGCGCAAGTTTTTGAGGGCCCAGCCGAGCGCATACATGAACGTCTTGTTGCACGGCGCCCAATGCGGGGACCGCGGGGCCTGGGGACCTTCGACTTTGGTACACATGGCGACGTCCTACATACAATGCTCACGAGCACAAGGACGGGCGGTAATTCCCTCCTTCGTAGATTTGGTCGCGGCTTTTTGCACAGCGGTCAGGACTTTGACTTTACCTAGGATCGGCGACGCTGATGGCTGTCTTCCATCGTGTTGAGTCCAGCTGCATTGGGGGAGTTCGACGCGTCTCTTCACATGGTGGCTTTGCTCATTGAAGGACACCGCGGTGCACATTTGGGCATTCCTTGTTGCGCGGTGTTCGCCCGATCACGGAGAGGCTCTCGGCCCGGATCCTCTCTTGCGGATGCTATTCAATGTTGCCTTCAGCCGCCCTTTGCGAGACATTCGCGACAAGCTGGTTCGCCTTGGTCGGGAGCTACCGCTGAGACTAGCCACCGCCCAGCAAGACATATGAGTCGGCCTTGATGCACCTGCGTTGATGGATGTGTATTTTGTCGATGGCGCCTTGTTCTTGCAGCCTCCTGATCCCGACGACGATGCCCTAGAAGTAGCTGGGGGCATGGCTGACATTATGCACGAAGCGATGTTGCGTCACGGATTTCGGGTCAACTACAGGAAGAACAAGAGTGGCATTATTTTGACTCCTGGGGGCCAGCAGCGTCAGAAACTAGTTCAGAATCTCGAGCAGTCACCCGTCCTTGTTCTCCTTTCCCCTTGTGGAGCGCACGAGATCACGCTGCCCCTGAGTACCAATATCTGGGGGCGTGCTTAGATGCTTCTTTGGGGGGCCTAGCACCACGGATCGCGCGGGCTACGCATCATCAGCGGTTATCTTTCGAACCAATCAGGCGCATGGCGGCGACGTTTCATCGGCTGCCACTTCCTTCGCGCATTTGTCTCGCGGACGTCCTGGCCAATGCATCATCAGCGGTTATCTTTCGAACCAATCAGGCGCATGGCGGCGACGTTTCATCGGCTGTCGCGCATTTGTCTCGCGGACGTCCTGGCCAATGTTCACCTTTTCTACCAGGTCGAGACGCGTGGGGGGGGGGGGGGGGCGTTCGAACATCCGGCTCAAAAAGCTTGAGGGCCCCAGGATATACTCGCATCGCATTGTGCAGGGGCGCGCCCGCCATCAAGGATCTGATTGCCACTATTCGGATTTGGAGGTGTTGGTTGCTGCCCGTCGGCTGCCACTTGTTCTGGTTCTTCGAAGGCGCCGGCTTGTGTACTGCAGCAAGCTTTTCGTGAACGCCCCCGCTGCGCTCTTCGTCTTGCGCGATCATGTAGCTGGGGAGCATGGTTCGTGGATCGCGCTGTTGCAGTAAGATTTGGCGTGGCTCAGCAGGTTTGATGATGACCCCTTCTTCGGGCGCCCTGGTCGTTGAGGCGGCGGTAAGAGTTTGCGCGGGCCGATGGTCCTAGAATTCGGCGACATATACAGTTGGCGCGGGATAAGTTTCTGTGCGCGGTGGGGGGGGGGGGTACGTTGCAATCATGGATTGGGCATGTGCGCGCGTTGGATGAGGAGGCCACGCGCCGTGCGCGACATGAGTGCAGAGCCCACTTCGAGCCGAAAGGCGCCTGGAGACACCGCGCTACCATGCACGACCCGATCGACGCCGCTCAGCTGATTGCGCGAGGTACGTTCCCAGCGTGGTGCATGGTGCACTTGGTGACCGATTAAATCTTTTGCGACATCTCAGGCGCCCAGGTAGCACTTGCATTAATTGGTTGATCGAGAACGACAGTCCGTTCACGATGGTGGAGGCTGGAGCGCTTCGACAGGATGATCTCCAGCGTGAACGACGTCTGGTGAGGACAGGGCATAGCTACCGCCAGATGACCAAGCATGCTCAACGCGACGATCACTGGGGCTTTCGCGGATATCCTTTCCACCCCCCTGTCCCTCCTGAAGTGCGGCTGGTTGTTGAACCAGCGCAGGCGTGTTGTCTAGGAAGAAATATGGGCTTTCCACCAACCCGACCTTCTACAATTTGGGCGCGGCACCTTCTCATCCTGGCGATCCGGGAGGTTGGATGCAACTGCTACGGCGAAAGCAGACAACAATGACGAGATTGGAGTTGGACGGAGCGGTTCGCAGATTTGGGACCACCGAGAAGCTCGTTCATTTGATCGATGATATGTTGAGTGGGCAGGTTTTTGTAGTTACTCTGGAACTACAGCTTCCCTGGCACCCGAAGTGCTTCAGTGGCGTTGGTGGCGTGCCGAATGTGATACTTTGTGATTCGGGTTGCCCTCTTGGAAAACTGCAGTTGCCGTCTGAGGAGCGCGACGGAGTGAAGCGTGACAGTTTTTGTATCGCAGGTGTAGTGAACGATCTTCGAGATGTCAGGCCTTTCGGGAGTGCCTTGTGTTTTCAATGTGAGACAGGCGTTTATACTCAGCTGGCTTTTTTGCTTGGACCGCGCGTGGGCTTGCATGCGGCCCGCTCGAGCAGCGCATGCCACTGCGAGGTGTGGCAAGGGCGCTTCTCTTTCATGGATAGAATGGCATATTCAACCGTGCAGCGAGGTTAAAAGTCTTGCCTACGGTGGCCGCCTGGCCGCCCATAGACTTGGAGCAGGCGCAGCTGGCTCGGCCGCCCGCTGGCCTCTGGCCATGAACCGCGCACTGGCGAGGGCCGTCCTGCATGGATCGGACCCTTAGCACGGGGAGAGGCGTGCAGGTCAGGTGGATGACACGGACCGAGGGAGCGTGGCGCGCTGTCCTAGGACGCGGGGTGGCTGGGGGTACAGGGGGGTTCAGGCGGGTGACATACTTCGCTAGTACCTCCCAGCCGCCCCCCTCCCAGGTATGCTAGGCACTGCGCTCAGCTTCGCCGCGCCCTGTTGCTTGAGGTGACGGTGTGTGCGAGGGTGCAGAGCGACAGGCCGCCCTCGACGTGCAATCCCTCCGTGTTCTCGCCCGATGTCCCCCGCACTTACTATTGGACGAGCTTATTTGCCCTCTTCTCTCTATCTCCCGCGCGCTGCCCGAGCTCGACCACATGCCTCAGGGGTGCGGTTTCCAGGCACCATGGACCGACATTCCCCTGAGTATTCCACGGCGTTCTAGAGGCCAGGTCGAGTTCGGGAATTTGCTCGACTTTTTTGTTCTGGCTACGGTCCCCGCTGAGGAGGGAACGTGGCGTGCTGTCCTGGGGTGCGGGGTGGCTGGGGGCACAAGGGGGTGCAGGTGGGTGAAATACCCCGCTAGCACTTCCCAGCCGCCCCTCCCCAGGGATTAGGCAGCCTGACCTGTCTGGCCACGCCCTCCTGGCGACAGCGCCATCCTCGACGGCGCCGCCATCATCCTGCTCGTCTCCCCTGTGTCTTCGTCATGTACCTAGGTTGTCCATCCTCGTCCTCTTCCTCTATCTTGGAACGCTGTGCCCGGCCGCACTGCTGCGGCCACGGTCTTTGTGGCGCCTGCCTTGCGGCCTCGACCGTCCCAGCGGACGGCGAGGCGCTGCCTTCCACCGCCTGCAGTCGCAGGCCCAGCTGACGCTTCGGGTGCGCGCGCCCAGTGGCCTGCCGAAAAAATGGGAGGAGGCAGGGGGGAGAGGGGGAGGGAGAGAGGGGAGGCCGGAGGAGGGAGAGGGCGGAGGAAGGAGGGAGGAGGGAGGAGGAAGGCTGGAGAGAGAGGGGGGACGAGGGAAGGAAAGAGGGAGGGATTGAGGGAGGCGACGAAGACGAGGCCCTGCACGCGACCACCTGCATCCGCGCCCCCCGCCCCCCCGCAGCGCCGCGCCGGTGCCGCCGCCCCTGCCGCTGGCGGACGAGACCGACGGGCTCCTCGGCGGAGGCCGGCGGACAGCGGGCTGGCTTGGCTTTCCTCTCCTTGGGGCCGTCGTGGGGCCCTGTTGGGCTGTCTTGTGGCCGTCTTCGAGGTCTCGGGGGCTGTCGTGTGGCGTCGTCGAGGCCCCGATGGGGGCCCGATAGCCCCAACCTTCACAGCAGGGTGCGGATCCACTATCGGGGGCTTATCGCCGATCTATCGGCGACGCATCGCCGATTCCAGGTCGGTGAATCCAACCTTATGCCAGCCCCCCCATATCTTTGCCCTTAAGGCTCTCCGTCGCGGATGGCCACGGATTGGTACAGCCAACCCGCACAGTAAGAATGGGCAACCCTCCCAAGGGTTCCCTTGCATCCTTGCCTCCTCTCAAAGAAGAGTACCGACATAAACATAATCTTTTGGCGCTCCGCGCGGGTTTCCCGGATCCGCGCTGGGGCCCCCCCCGTTGGTGCCTGCGGCGCCGCCCTTGGCGCGCGCCGCGTGCCAGGGAGGGGATCCACCGCGAATCCAAGAAATCCGCGCGGAGCGCCAAAAGTTTGTGGTTCTGCGGTTTTGTTTCGTTCCTCTTACCACATAATATGGATGGGCAACCTTCCCAAGGGTACAGTTTCAGATGATCGCAAACATGGATCAAGGGGGCGCGGATTTGCGACGGGTCCCGTTTTCACGGATGTCGCCGATGTCCGCCGCCGAGCGAGGCGGCAATGGCCGCATTTGGGAGAGGGCACCTCCCCCGATCCATGGATTTGGCGTCCGCGCGCCAAATCCATGGATCGCTAATCCATGTTTGCGCGCCCTCGACCCTTGCACCTTGGCCTCCCCGGTCCATCCTTGGCCACCTTCGTTTGCCGCGCCTCGCTCGAGAAGCTTCGAGATGGGTGTCCAAGGCCCTTGCATCCCTATCGCGAATCCTTATGATACGGGCTGGCTGCACGACTGGCACAGGGCTCCGTTCGATTCCTCCGATTCGATTCGATTCGATTTCGAGGGCTTCGGATTCCACATGGATTCGTCTTCGGAGTCCGATGTGGATTCCGATTTGTCAATGGAGGCCTCCTAGTCTGCCGATTTCTGCCGATTCGACTTCTCCCGATTCGGCTGTCGATTTCCGCCGATCCGATTAATTTCGATCGCCGATTCGACTTCTCGATTCGATTCTGGGATCCCCTGCCGACACTGGTACGGTAGGCTCGCGTCGTGTCGACTGGCGGCGAGCGAGGGGAGGAAGTGAGAAGGACAAAGCCCACTCAGACGGCGGCGGGGCTTCTCGGACGCCCTCGCGCCTTCTGAGAAGTTGTCCTTGGTCCTTGGCTTCGGGGGAGGCTTAGGAAATCTGGCAGAAGGCTTGGGACTTTCGAGCCTTTGAGAAGGCCCGCCCCTTCGCACTGTTGGGGGGTTGTAGAGAAGGGGCTCTTCAGGGCCTCTACTGGTGCCCTTTAGGGCCCCAAGGAGAGGACCGTTAGGACCCGAAAAGGGCACCTTGTGTCCCTCCCATCCATCGCCCACCATGAAGCGAGGCCCAAGGACGGCCCTGGATCGGTACGACCGACACGGGCACGGTAGGCTCGCGTCGCGTCGATTGACGGCAATCCCGCCACCGACTTTCAACGTCGAGCGCCGCTGGCGACGTTGAATCGGTCGATGTTGAGCGATCTGACGTTTCGGAAACGGCCGATCGTGAAAGGTTGAACGATCTCCGCGGTGTCAAAAACCAACGCCGAAGTCGGCACGGCACGAACCTGCCGTACAGAAAGAATGGGGACGAGGGCCGACAGCCGACAGCAGTTCTTTATGTACGGTTGAAATGGGTGCGGGAAGAATGGATACGAAAACCGACAGCAGTTCTTGTTCACTCTGAACGGGACTCGTTGTCGGTGCCGCTGCGGGCGGTGTCCATTGAGGCAGAAACGCACCTGCCCAGCAGCGGCCGCTTTCGGTTTTCGGCAACATGTGTTGTTGGGCATCGTGCCCATTTCTTCCGTACCCATGTCGGGCGTACCAATTTTTGTCCATGTTGAGCTGGACTCGTTGTCGGCGTTGCCGCGGGCGTTTTGGCCCAAAAAGCGCCTCGTGCACAACAGCGACCGCTGCCGGTTTTGGACCACGTTTGTTGTTGGGCATCGTTCGTGTCCATGTTTGCATTGCAGGTCTGGGCCGGCGCCACTCTTCTGGAGAGAGTTCTGGATTTCAGGATTCCTGGAGCTTCCAGACACCTCGAACATCCGTGACTTCAATCATTATATATCCAAATTTGAGGAACTTCTGGAATTGTTGGTCTTGTGCACGTTTTGCAACCTCTGCAACCCGTGCGCGGTGCAACACATTCCAGAAATTCCAGACATTCCAGACAATTAAAAATTAAGAAATGCACAATTTCCATGCATTCCAATCAAGATGTGGATGGTTCTGAACAGGTGTTTTCGGACATGATTCTGGCTGTGCAAGTTCTCATGATGAACGCAACTATGCATCGTATTTTGGTTTATATGCTTACGTATATGTATATAAAATGGCAAGCGTCACATACAGTATGCATCATAGTATATGAGTCCAGTTATTGAGCAGTCGGTTGGCGACTTTGGCCCTTTGCCCACGATCCACGGTTGTCTTCGTTCCGTGGCCGCGTATCGGGGGTCTCCGCCCCTAGGACGCGGACCCGCTCTTGGATTCGGGTCTGCCTCCCTGGGCCATTGCCGGCGTTTCGACCACCGAGCCGCAACCTGTTGCCTCTGGCGGCGCATTCCGCGGCTTTGAGGCGTGCTTGGCGGTTTTCGAAACGCTGGGCAAGTGGTTCGCGGACGGTCGGAACAGAGTTTGCCAGCATGCCCGAGAGGCGTGAAACGACTACGCGTGCCGAGAAGCGTGCAAGCGACGTTTGTGGGCTGCCTAGGCGCTCAATCAACGCTTGGCGGAGCTGCCCAGTCGCGCGAAAGATGCTTTGACGCGCTGCCCAGGAGCTACCTAGGCGCTGCATACGAACTAATCGCAAACGCTTGCGGCCCGCGTGTTGGGAATGAGTAGGACGGCGCTGACTGGGGCCAGGTAGAAGCTCCATCAAAACGCTGCGAGGATGCCTGACCAGCAGCCGTGGAGACGAAGCTGGCCAAGCCTTGCTGCTGGTTTCTTTTGTAATAGCTCTCTCAGGAGCTGTCCGGAAATATCATACAATGACATGGTCTGCTATACAATGTTGCGCTACAGCTCCACGTATCATACTGTTCTACATGGCAACTTCACTTGCCAATATTTTCTTACAGGTTATGGACATCTCGCCATGTGTTTGTGTTCTAGGGCACCGTGCAGGAGGAGTGCCAGCCTCGCTGCCTCTCAATGATATCCGCCTAGTCCGTTCTTCCCTCCCTGTGTTATTGTGTGTTCTTCGCTTGTTCCCTGCCGTCAATGATGCTAAACGATTTAGGCCATTGGTCTGGTAGCTGCGCTTTCTGAAGCCCAAGAGCGAACATTTTCATCTAAGCCACGGCTGAACAGCGGGAGCATGCTATCCAGGCCTCCCATGTGGGGTCCGAGTAGATGGGGTCGGAGGTTCGTGCCGCATCGGCGATGCGGCTCGGTGTGGAGACCGATGTTCTCCGCGCCGGCGTCGCCGGTATACCGCCGACGTCGCGGATGCATCTCCGATGCAGCGGCGATGCATGTGCGATTCGGTGCGGTCCTCCGACACCATCTACGGGGACCCCATCTAGAACAAGGCCTAGGGTACGCGCGTGAGCATGTCTTTACTGTTCTCCCTCCTCCCCTCTGGAGCAGCCGTCCGAGGCCCTCTGGACGCGGAGGCGCTCTCCGCCCCACAAGAGGCCAGCGCAGTGCTTGGCGGGGGGACCCTGCTCAGAATGCAGGGAAGAAGTGTTGGATCGGCGGGGAAATCCTGACCCTATCCTCGCCGAGCAACGATTCAGGCAACTCGATGGTCTGCGGGGGTAGGGTTCGGAATTCGTCGAACGCGTGGCGGAATCCGAACCCTGCCCCTGCTTCCTCTCGATTCAGGAGTACGGATGGACAGCGGGAGCAGGGTTCGGGAGTCGCCAACTAGGGAGGGGGTGTTAGAGGAGAGGGGTCCTGAGGTTTTCGTGTCTTCCCCCGGGAAGCCACCCTGGGCCCCATGACCCCATGACTGTCAGAAAACGGTTCCAACAAATTGGACTTGGGGGAGAGCCTTGGGACCGAGGATCTTTCTGGTGACCAGGGCTTTTCCCCCCATGCCAGGATACGCAGAGAAACGGGCAAACCATCCACGCGCATGGGCACTGCGGCGGGAGTCGTTCAGTCACAGGACAGGGCTCGAGCGAAACGGTGTTAGGGCGAGTTCGTGGAGGGTGTTCGCTTTGATTTAGCTGTTCGCAGCCGAGGGCAGAAGGAAGGCAGAGCGAAGGGAAGCGAACGCAAAGCGAAAACGAAACATCATGTTTTAGCTCGAGCCCTGTCACAAGAGTTTCGAGGAGGAGGAGGGGGGAGGGGGAGGGGGAGGGGGAGGGGTGAGCAGCGGGGGTCAGAGGGGTAAGACCAGCCCTGGTGTTGGAGGGGTACTGACCCCCGGGATGTTTTCCAAGGGTCAGTCCACCCGCCAACCCCAGTGTTGGAGGGGCAAGGGCAACCCCTAGTGCTGGAGGGGCTCTTCACCTTGGAACGTGTTCCAAGGGTCAGTACCCCTTCAACCCCAGGAGGAGGAGGGGAGGAGGAGGAGGAGGAGAAAGACCCCAGCGTTGGAGGGCTACTCCGAATTTTGTTTGTTCTATAAGCGTCGGGGGGGCCGTCACGCCTGCAGACCGCCCCACATCGACCCCCGTCGCGGGCAGTCACCGCGCGCCGAAGGCGCTCCGACCCCCGTCGCAGCGCGACGACGAGGCGAGGTTGACCCCCGTCGGGGGGGGGGCCCGACGCTTATGAAGAAACCCAGAGTAGCGTTGGAGGGGTAAGAACAGCTCAAGTGTTGAAGGGGCTCTGAGCCTGTTGATGTTTTCGTGTGGGATATGTCCGCGGGGCCTTCG